TAGGAAGCCCCTGCCCCGGGCTTCCTGGAATCAGCCGCTGATCAGTTTCAGCAGCAGCTGACTTGGGGACACCTGGGGTTCTTAAGTTGAATCTGTATGTAAGTCAGAACTGGCATCCAGATTCAGCTGCTGTTGAAACTGATCAGTTTCAGCAGCGGCTGAATCTGGACACCAGTTCCGACTTACATACAGATTCAACTTAAGAACAAACCTACAGTCCCTATCTTGTACGTAACCCGGGGACTGCCTGTATACTGAATTCTGTTTTGCCCCTCTTACAGAGTAAATCCAGAGTTTTGTTATGAAGTTGCAAAATAGTACACTAAGCAGAACTGGATTGGGCAGAGAAATCAACAGCTTCTGCAGATCCCTGGACAAGGAGGTGTGGATGCGGGGCTGACTTGAGGCCCTGGAAGGGGCAGGGCATTGGGTAGAAGGGCAGGTACAGAGCAGCCAGCCATTTATGCCATCCAGAGCATGACACTGTCCCCTCCCCAGCCCTCAGAGCTGTGTAGAGTGCACAGAGCAATGCTTCCGCAGCAATTTAAAGAGCCCAGGGATCTAGCTGCTGCCACTTCACCAATAGCAACAGTGGCAACTGGGAGCCCCAGGTCCCATTGAATCACTAGGCCCCAGGACAATTGTCCCTTTTCCCCCTCTGTCAGTGGGCCTGTGATTGGAGAAATAGATTCCAGAAGTCTGGCAGATAATCCCATGGGCATTTCAATAAAGATTAAATTTACAGTTTATTCAGAGCCCAATAAATTTACCGTTTATTCAGAGCCCAGTTTTGTGGCATACGTGCATACACACATATACTCTCCCTCTCTTTCACACACACACACACACACACACACACACACACACACACACTACCTAACCACAGCTCTAAATCCCAGGCTTAAGTTTGCTTCTGATTTCCAAAACAACTCAAATTCCTAGTACTGTTCTTATTGATTAACCCTTCCAGTCATCGCTAAAGGACAGCTGAAAAGATTAGGATGGCTGGAATCATCCCTATGACAAAGTAGTGGCTGTGTAAATATCTGCTACAGGTACCTTTTGTAGACATGTCACTGAGGTAGACATGGCTCTAGTTCAATATACCCTGTCAGGAGTATTAGCACCTGATAAAGAATAGCAAAGTCTTATACAGTCTGAAATCCAGTGAAAGAGTCACTGAGTTGAGATGGCTTCATCTTTCTTGTGATTCGCTATGGAGACAACAGTCTAGGAGAGGACCAGAATGATCTTGCGCATTGTATATAAAAAGAAAGTGCCCTGCGTAATCAAGAGTGTGCATATTTGATTCAAATGAGTTAGTGTGGAGTTTTGGAAAAAAATGTAGAGATGTGTATAGTCTGATTCAAATGAAAGGATGATCGTACCTTTGGTAAAAACTTGGGATTACTGTGTAAAGTCACCTTGTCTTTGAAAAAGGTGGTATGGGGGTCTGCCATGAGTGTGGCAATTTCTCCCACCCATCTGGCCAATGTAATGGCTATGAGAAAGGTTGTTTAATTAAAAGGTGCACAGAGAGCAGGTGGCCATTTCTGGAGAGAATATTTAAAACCAGGTGGAGATCTCAAAAATGTGCTGGAGAGGTCACATCGGAATAAAGCACTTGTAGGCCTTTGATGAATGTCTTAGTGAGAGGATGTGCAAATATTGAGGTATTTATTTTGAGGTGAAAAGTGGTAAGAGCAGCAAGGTGTACCTTGATGGAACACAGCACAAGGCCAACTTGTTTAAGGTGCAACAAATAGTCCAAAATTAGAGGCAATGGGGATGCGGACAGGATAGCATGACAATGTGCCCACCATACTGAAAATCTTTTCCACTTCTGAAGGTATATTTTACGAGTGTTTTGGGCTCTGCTGTGCAAGAGGACGCATTGAACCTGTGCAGAGCACGCTAACTCTTGTGCAGAAAACCACTGAGGAGCCAAGAATTCAGATTCAGCACATGGAGATTGGGATGGATGTCCATATTTCAGGGCTGATAAAGGAGATCAAGGTTGCAAGGCAGGGGAGTTGGTGGTATGTAAGCCATTTTGAGCAGAAAGGGAACCAAGGTTGCCATGGCCAAAAAGGTGCTATCAGAATTAATTGTGCCTTCTCCGTTTGCGCCTTGATCACAACCATGTTGATGAGAGGTATGGGAGGAAAGTGTATAGGAATTGAAGCGATCACTTGACCAGGAAAGCATCCCCTCCCTATGCTAGGTCTGGAGCAAAAATGCAGACAGTTTTTGTTGTTCTGGGTGGCAAAGGGGTCTATGGTGGGGTGACCCCACCGTTGGAAAAATCCACACATGGATAGCTGGGTTGAGTTGCCACTTGAGTTTCGTGGGCAGCGTCCTGCTTAGAGCATCAGCTGTGTTACTGAGGTGGCCAGGAAGGCGCACAACAGTGATTATATATGCTGTATTTCAGGCACCAAGTCCAAAGGGTGATTGCTTCCATACACGGTGAGTGTGATCTGGCTCCACTCTGACAGTTTGTATAAAACATTTCAGCAACATTGTCTACGTTTAGTCTCAAAGGATTTTGTTGATTAAAGGGAGAAATAGTTCACAGCATATCTTACCACCCGCAGTTCTAGTACATTGATGTGAAGACCTCTCTTTGTTGGACCACAATCCTGAGCCATGTGATGATGCAAGTGTATGTGCCATCCAATAATGGATGCATCTGTCGTCATGGAAATGGATGGTTCTGCTGTAAGGAACAGAATGCCAGAACACAGATCTTTCTGTGTCAACCACCAGAGAGAAGACTTCCTTACTGAGGGTGGGATGATGAGGGACTTTGATAATAGGTGGACGTATGGCTTGTAGATTGCCCTGAGCCACCCCTACAGATACCTCATGGGCAAATTAGCATTTTACCATGAAGTTGCAAACTGCCATATGACTCAATAGTTGAAGGCAGTCTTGGCTGTAATTTTGAGAGAGGACTGTAGAGTCATGACCAAGTCCATGATTTTGTGAAAATGCTCCATTAGGAAGGGAAGTGAGTGTACACGCGAAGTCAAGGTAAGCACCTATGAACTGGATCTTTTGATTAGCAAACAAATGTGACTTGTTTTTGTTTATCTGTAGACCAAGAGGTTAGAAGACATCTCCTGTGATGGAGAGGGAGCATCGAGCATCAGATTCGGAGCACGCATTGAGGAGACAGTAGTCGAGGTAAGGAAATATAATTACAGATTGTTTCTGCAGTTATGCTGTAATGACTGATAGCACCTTTGAGAAAACTCTCAGATCTGTTGAAAGGCCAAATGGCAAGACCTTATACTGGTAGTGTGGAGTACCTAAAAGAAATAGTCTATGAGCAGGATGGATGGAAATGTGAAAATATACATCTTGCAAGTTGATGGACAAAAATGAGCCACCTCTTTCCAATGCCTTTGTGATGGTGGCAAGTGTTACCATCTTAAACTTTTGCTTCTTAACGAATTTGTTCAATGCTCATAAATCAAGGATGGGTAGCCATCTTCTCTACTTCTCCATGTGGAAGTAATGGGAATAAAAACCTTTCCCCTTGTACTTGTAAAAGATGTCCAACCTCCTGTTGGAGAAGATCCTCATGAGAGTGATCCCTGAAGAGGGACTGGGTAGGGGAATGGGAAGAGGGTGTCAACATAAAGGGAATAGTACATCTGAGCTTGATTATTTGTAGAACCCATTTATTGGAAGTTATCCTTTTCCAGGTGTTAAAATATGGCAGAAGACAGGCTAGAACAGCTTAGAGGGTATAGAATGCACTGGAATGGTCAAAAGGTTTTCACAACTCTCGACAAAAGACTCAGATTTGCTTATTAGAAGGTTGCAATTGCTGAGAGCTGTTAGATGATTGACATCATTGTTGACCCTAGCCTCTTGTGAAGTTCTTTTGGTGCTGCTCTTGCCTGTTGTATTGAGGAGTCTATTGAGGGTATCTAGAGCTAGGATATGGTATCTGGGTCTAGGCTGTAGTATAGCATATATTGTCTTCTTATGGTATTTGCAGAATTGTGGATACCAAGAGATTAGAGCATTGCGTTAGAATCCTTCATGGAATGTAACACTTCATTAGTGTTGGCTGCAAATAGTTTCTGCCCATCAAATGGAAGGTTTTCTACAGTAGACTGGATCTCTCAGGGAAGATTGCAGCACTGAACCGTGAGGCCCTTCTATGACTATGGCTGTTGTGGTAGACCGAGCTGCTGTGTCAGCAACATCTAGGGCATCTTGGAGTATCATCCTGGTATTGCATGACCCACCATAATCATGACTTTAAATTGCTGCTTCTTTGTCTAAGGAATATCTGAAATAAATAATTTAATCTTGACTTATTGACATTGTATAATTTGCCACTAGGAATTGTAACATGGACAACATGTAACTTTTCAGCCAAAGAGATCCAGCCTTTTGCTGTCCCGATCCGGTGGGGTTGATCTAAAGTGCTGCTGCTTCATCTTCTTCTGGGCTTCTAACACTAGTAATGAGTTTGGTGCAGGGTGGATAAAATGAAACTCTGATCCTTTTGGAGGAACGTAATGTTTTTTGTCAATCCACTTGAATGTTGGAGTGGCCATTGCTAGTATTTGCTAGATGGTCTTTGCTGGCTCCATAATGGTAGGATTAATCAGTAAAGCTATCTTGGAAGTCAAAAGGGTTAATAAAATGTCAGTCAATTCATGTTGGTTCTGACACATACTGTATGGGGATATTGAGTTCAGCAGATACACATTTAAAAAGATCTTGAAAATGTAAGAAATTGTCTCCTGTTGTGGGAGTAGGAGGCATCCTACTTTGTCTGGGGAGGACGATTCATTGGTATTAGGCGATGCATCCAATGAAGGATCAGATTGCTCCCCTTGTATTGCATGTTGATGTTGAGGAACTAAGGAATACTGTGAAGGGAACAGCTGAAGCACAGAAGAGCGCATGTGGGATTTGTGGAGCTTCTGGCGAGGCTGCCAGGGGCTCTGGTACTGCTACTGTGGGTAAGGCATGGGTGGTGGCATCCATGGGTTGTTATACCAGTGTGGCATGTTTCAGTGTTTGGAGTGTGGAGGATGAGTCCTGGCTGAGTATACGGAATAGTCAGTGGGAGGAGCATTGTTAGGAGAAAACATCACATCCACATCCTCATCAGAGTCACTGGAAAATCTCTCTGGTAATATATCCAGTCTCAGTGCTGGAGTATCAGGAGAAATGTTGGTGCCCAGGAAAGGTGAATTGAAAGTTGAAGAAACCAGGAGGTCTCTATGTTGTATGTACTGCTGTGCTGGTGTCAATGGTGCCATTGTTGGCTGCACCAGTGCCGCTTGTGGTGCCATATGATATCCTGGCCACCTGGTGCCGAGACATGTACTCAGTGTTGTGGCTGTGCCTGTAGCAGTGCCAGAAGTAGTGCTCGACACTGGAGCCAGTTGCAGTGCCGGCAAAGTACTATCAGTTCCAGTAGATGATAGCAGAGTGACATCAGTGCCAGCAGGTGCTGTGACATTCAAGTCACGCAACTTAAAGCTTGAGGCCTCAGAGCAGGATTTTGTATGACCCGCTTTCTTGGCAGTGCTGGCAATGCTGGATACACCTGCAACATCAGAAGTACTTAATTGTGGTGCCAGAGTTGCTGTCAGCACTGGAGACAAGCGCTTAGGTGCCCAAGCCTCCTGAGAAGGTACATTCCTTTCAGGATTTTTTGATCCTTTTCAGCCTGGGGCTTATCGTGCTGCTGACCCCAGTCTGAAGCTGGTCTTAGTGACTTTTTGAGTAGAATCAGCTTAAAGCATAAATCTCTGTCATGCAGTACTCTGGCCTTCGATTTAGCAGAGTGAGGGAATTTCTGTGAAACATGCCTTGCCAAGGAAGCGGACACATTGAGTGTGTCCATTTGACACAGGAATAGAATTCTTACATGAGGAACAGAGCTTAAAACCTGGGGAGCTGGGCATGGTGCAGGCTACCACTATCTAACTATAGGAACAAAGAACTTGGAAGAAAATTTTTTAAACTAGAACAAAGAACAGTTAAGAAGGAAAAACTAACCACAGGCAAGGGACATTAAATAACAAACATTTGCTGCAGAGACTTTTCTACCTCTCACTTAAAGCTGAAACAGGAGTCAGTCACAGAATCAAGGGGAGCATGTTCTTGGCCAGCTCATGCATGTGAAAACTCATAAGAATCATAAAATCATAGAATACTAGAATTGGAAGGGACCTCAAGAGGTCATCAAGTCCAGTCCCCTGACCATACGGCAGGACCAAGCACCATCTAGATCATCCCTGATAGATGACTATCCAACTTGCTTTTAAATGTCTCCAGTGATGGAGATTCCACAGCCTCCCTAGGCAATTTATTCCAGTGTTTAACCACCCTGACAGTTAGGAAGTATTTACTAATGTCCAATCTAAATCTCCCTTGATACAGTTTAAGCCCATTGCTTCTTGTCCTATCATTAGAGGCCAAGAACAATTTTTCTCCCTTCCCCTTATAATACCCTTTTAGATACTTGAAAACTGCTATCATGTCCCCTCTCAGTCTTCTCTTTTCTAAGCTAAACAAGCCCAATTATTTCAGTCTTCCCTCATAGCTCATGTTTTCTAGACCTTTAATCATTTTTGTTGCTCTTCTCTGGAACGTCTCCAAATTCTCCAGATGTTTCTTGAAATGTGGTGCCCAAAACTGGACATAATATTCCAACTAAGGCCTAATCAGTGCAGAGTAGAGCAGAAGAATGACTTCTCATGTCTTGCTCACAATACTGGTTTTTGACAAGGGATATTCCAGCCTAAAAAAAATCTGCTGCAATATTTAGGCACAATTTCGAGGAGGGTGCAAAATAGCTAGAACAGTTTTTGTGGATACATATGCACCATATAGTCACCTAATCACATCCAACACTCACTACGTCTACACTGGCACCATTTTGCTCAAGAACTCTTTTGCGGAAGAGTTCTTGTGCAAAAACTCTTCCAGAAGACAGCGTCTACACTGGTATGTGCCTTTGCGCAAGAGATGTGCTTTTGCACAAAAGCATCCTTGCCAGTGTAGACACTCTCTTGTGCAAGAAAGCTCTGATGGCTATTTTAACTGTAGGGCTTTCTTGCGCAAGAAACTCATGTTGCCTGTCTACACTGGCCTCTTGCTCAAGAACAGTTGCGCGAGAGGGCTTATTGCTGAGCGGGAGCATCTTAGTTCTTGTGCAAAAAGCACTGATTTCATACATTAGAACGTCAGTGTTTCTTGCGCAAGAATTTGTGGCCAGTGTAGACAGGTAGCAAGTTTTGGCACAAAAGCAGCTGTTTTTGTGCAAGATTGAGCCAATGTAGAGACAGCCTCAGAGTTAGGTACCTACAGTAAATGGCTGCAAATATACTAATAACTGTCTGTGTGCAAAAGCAAAACTACAAAACAAAATTGTACCTACTATATTGGATGAGGATCCAGGTTAAAACTCAGGGACTCTTATCAAAACTCATTTTTTACCATGATACCTTGTACTATAACAGTTATATGTACCAAACTTTTATGTGCTTTTGTTTTTGTTACAAATATGTATAAAGTAGAGCTGGTCGGAATATGAGATTTTTTTTTTTCACTGCAGAACTTTTTTTAAAATCAAAAATGCAATCTTTTGTTATTTGACACCCAAAACCCAAACTTTTCTCTCTAAAAAAAAAAAAAAAAAAAAAAAAGCAATTTGGGGCTTTCAAAAATGGTATGTTTTCAAGGAAGTAAACACTTCCTGTGAAAAGTTTTGATTGTTCAAAAACCCAATTTTTCATCAAAAAAGGTTATGATGGAAAAAGTTTGACTAACCATGGAAAATGTCAGTTGTTCTAATTTTCCTTTTTTTAAAAAGGGGTCTTTGTTATTTGGTGAATTAACTTATATGAATCTATCATTATTGTAAACTGTGCTCATTAAATTCAACATTCAAACAATTACCAAACGTTACATAAGTAAAACCAGGGAGAAGTCACTAGAATGTCTGGAAAACAATTAAATAGCATATGCCCCTGGGATATTGTATCAATAACAATAATGTAAGTCCACCAGCTGTGTCAAAGTAACTGAGTATTACACCATTGTCCCACAATAGTTGTAAAAATTCTTGTAAGCAAATGGATCCCTAGTGATGTGTAAACTCTATCCATATATGTACTATTGCTTTAGGGTAACATTTTCAAAAG